CAACGATGTGACTGACTGCCTCTTGCTTTCCGTTAATGCTGGCGCCGTAATATCTCAGTATGGTATGAGAGTCTTTTTCGCCCAGGACTGCATGGGGAGAATTGGTCAGTGACGTTTCGTGATCACAGCCCGCCAAGTATGATATCTGTTTTCATTCCTAAAAGCTGGGCGAAAACAAGTATGACGAAAAGAGGTCTCAATACTTTTGGATTTGTGAATAGAATGAATAAATCTTCTTCTGCTCAGGGACGAATTTTCGCTCGTTTTTTTATATTTTATTTTTTCTAATTTGATTGATGTCTTGAATGACAACGCCTTTGCGGAGCATTCCGTAGTTCGAGGAGGTTTTTTTTAAAAAGAAAATCTTTTTCCATTTCGCGCTTTCTCACTATACTAAAGTATCTGCGCCAACCTACTAACAATTTACAACCTCTCCCTTTATGATACCTCCTCCCTCATCACAATTTCCTCTCTAATCTTGCCTTAATCTCTATTCCCCATACTCACCAGCCCCATGATACTTGCATTGGGTATCATTCGGCTGCTCAGTCTTGCGCTCCCTTGTCTCCTCTTCGCCCTCAATCTCCTCATTCTTTCCTCTGTCCTCTCCTTCCTCCATCCCCCCGTTCGAGGGGGTTGTTGCTAGGGCGGTGGTACTCGCCCCAGGCAAGAAGTATAGTATCCGGAAACAGGGATTCTTAAAACATATGGCAAAACATCTCTGCGCAATACAAAGTCACGACTCGTATTTTCGGATACTTCTTGCCCGGAAAAAGTAGTAGCCGGATCATAAAGGGGGTTAATTGGTTTCCTGACGTGTTAGCTATCATCATACTTGTGCCGCCTAGGTACAAGTACTGTGCAGTACTGTGATCCATATACCAGCACTGTGGGAACGAATTCTTTTCTTTTCTTCCGGGAGGCGGCCCCAGTGTTTTTTTTTTTTTTGTCTAGACTTAAAGACACTAATCCACTTTATTCTTTCTTCGCTATCATATTATATAAGTTAATCGCTAACTTATAGGAGGAGGTATGATACATTCTCGATGGAAGCAGAAATTACAGATATCAAGTCAACGGGCCAGTACAATAACAGCAAGGCTCAATTGGTATTTAAAATGAGCTCGTCATAGCAAGCGAGCAAGCGAGCGGGCAATCCTCAATGAATGCAAGAAAGTAGGTTTGGCCAGGGGGGGGTATAAAAACTATTCCTGACTTGCGATATCACAGTCTTTGTTCAGGGCGTTGTGCCGAGTTGATGGTCGGATGTCACGAGTGTGATATGATACGAGTGCTCTCTGTGGTCGAGGGGCAGGTGCATGAACACAGGTAAGTTGTGATACTTGAATTGTCTCACGCGATATTTGTTAAAAATGCCGATGGAGGAGGGGGGGTTTCTCTTTGCAATTTATTTTATCAAGTAGCCTTGGCAACGGCTTTCTAGTACCGTGACGTACTGTACATGTTCTCACTTGGTATACCGACTGCCGGCGAGTTACTTTATCTTGTGACGGAGGAGTATAACAGTCAATGACTGACTTGCGCAGCGGTGGGAAAAAGCACTAAAGGACTATGTGGGGGCTGTGGTAGTAGGACGTGCACAAAAGCGTATGGTAAGGTAAAAACAGCTTCGCTCTCTCTTTTCTAAACTAACGGTAGAGACAGGTGTATAAGTAAAACATAAACAACGTATCTCCATCATTCCATGAATCACCACACCTATCCGTATCTCTCCAATCATACTACCCTTTCCTCCATACACTCCCGTGATAACAAAGGAAAGACATGTCCGGAGAATCTCCCATCAATCTCTCAACCTCCACACTGATCTATCGAACATCGGAACTCTTCGCCAGACTCCCGAACCTTCCACAATCTATCTCAGTCGACCAACGTCGATCTAGAAGCTTCAACACTTTACTGTACTGCATGTACTGACACTACTGCAACACTGATTGACGTCTCCATATTTCCTGTTAAATTTTAAGGGGAAAGGGTGTTGGCTAGACGGGTGCTTCTAGGAATACAATGCTCGTTTGCCAAGAGAGAGAGTCAATGACCGCTGATCACTGTTTATGCCATATCGGGAGCTAAATACATATGGACTCAACCATACCCAAGGCGGGTGGGGGGGGGGGTTACGCTCACAATAGTTCCTGTCCTCCGCTAGGTTTGGAGATTTGGTGTCCTCGCGGTGCTCGAAGGTGGAGTGTCGGTTCGAACACCCCCCCCCCAAATAGAAGGGAGATATGCATGATCTGGGACGTATGATACCCGTTCTTCGCAGAGTTGGTGATACTGTCTTTGAATTCTCGGGGTTTTCCGGATTGTTGTGAGAGGTAGGGCGCCTACGTGGGCACTAGCAAAACCCGTATCTGGTCTACCGGTTGAAGCGCAGTTTTGCCCGGGTCGGTATCGAAGCAATTTGGAGGGTGGAAGAGGGAGTAGTTTTGAAAGGGGGACATGATGTCCGAAGGATGACCGGGCCTAGGGGTACATCTAATGGGCTGGGGAGGGCTGTGGAGATGTTGTTTTAGTGGCGGGCGTTAGGCCTTCGGAACGCTGGATGAAAAGTGAGCTCGCAGAACATATCCAAAGGGGTACCCAGGAGTTTGGTATTGAGTTGATGGCCTGGCATTGCTTTTAGGAGTGAGATAAGAAAGTGGTAACGGGTGGGTGCATACTCGGGCTTCGGAGAATTTCATAGTGGCTTTACAAGAGGCTCGGGACACAATTTGGATCCCGATCTTTAGCAGGATATCATGATACCAGAGTACATACTACGGGAGATGCAAAAGCTTGGTTCGAGGAAGACGACATTGGATAACCTATCCAAGGCTTAAAGAGATAATCCATCAACACTTTTCTACTATCGACAAGAGAAAAGGAGGTTCAGAAGCCGCAGCAAGCTCTCTCGCAAAGGCTCTCTTTCTCTCTCTCTTTTTGAAGTTTGGGTCAGTGATATTGGGTGGCAACTTGGTGAGTTTGGAGGGTGTTGTGATGACGATATCAGTGACCCGGCGCAAATAACCTACTGGTACCCGGAGCGTAGGTAACCTACCCGGTGAACACGAGACGTCGCCTTACTAAAAAGGGAAATTTTTGATGAGGGTTTCCTAAAGCTTTCTTTGTTGTCAAGCATCATGCGCACTGGAATAACAAATTCGGTAGTCCCATAAGCGCAGTACATATTAATGATACCGTGATCTTTTCGTCACTATCTTTGTTATCACTTATCATACATCCTTCATACACCAAATTTCGCACAAACTGAGAACCTTCTGGTGTTATCTATAATTTCTATTGGGTTGAGGAAAAAATCCGGATTTTCAGAAACCAGAACATTGCCACGGGAATAGGATCGCCTTCTCTATCCTTTCCAACTTTTAGATTTCTCTAGATTCCTACGAAAAGTCCTCCATTTGTGAGTTGGCCAGGAGCACCTTCCGGATCAGCTAGTGCAGTATTAATGTACAAGAGACTAACCGGCCTTCCCGAAAATATCGGAACCAAGGTAGATTATGGCACTCCAGGCGGTCAACGGTGCTCAAAAATTCCCGGAAAGTTACTCGTATTCCCACGGACAATCCGTACGAGAACTGATTAGCTTCGCATGATATAGCTAAAAGCTCCTGGGATTGAAGAGTGTCCAAGGTAGCACCACCGGAGACGCCATCCGCGCGAGTGATTGTTCTCGCAAGTGGCAGCGGTGGTATAGATTCTCTTGAACATCTCGGGGAGAGACCATTGTTTGTACGTCTTGGCTTTTGGAGTGCGGTATGATCGCTGTATTCGATCCTTCATAGCGCTGTGTACTACCTGCACGACCGTGGCCTTTAACCAACCAACTATATCCGCCCTCACCCACCACCCAATCTCACTCACTGCCCTCCCTCGTTCGAAAGTTACAATGACATACTGTGCAGGAAGTCACTACACCCGCACAGCCCCCCTCTAAACCTAGAGTAAGGTGGAACAAATGAGCCTGACATCTTTGGGGCAAAGCGTGCAGTGCAGCATACTAGGTATCATACTAGGTAGGACCTGATATGCGTTTACCGCATGAATTGGATGGGGGGTTCGCATCTCACGACCAACGCTATCCTGAGCAATTCTTGAAGACAGTAGAGATGCTGAACGCCACATTTCCTCGCCGGCGAATCACCCCCATTCCCGGACGTTCACTTGCTCCTTTACCCTCCCTCCCTCCCCCCACCTCTCCCGGAAATGGCCGTCGGCGCACTCGCAAGCCTCAGCAGAATTTCCTGGAACAGCCGTAGTATAGTTGCACGGTGGTGTCAGGCTCGAGTTGGGGGTAGTGTATGTGCGGATGGAGGTTTACCTAATCGTTCTTTTGCCGGGTGGTGGCCTTGGAAGTGCTGGTATTGCAAATCTTCTATGATATCGTGTCGTTGGGGTTGCCCCCACTGGTAAGGTTCTATGTCTTTATTTCCTTTTTCATGTCAGAGGGGCTGGGCAGCTCTCTTTTCTCTTTTCTCTTTTCTTTTTCTTTGTCTTTCGCCCCCCCCCCCCGCCCCGTTTTCCAAAGTAGGGAATTCTCAACTACGTGCGTAACACACGGTTCGATTGTTTGGGTTTCTACTTGTAATGGAATCGTATCGATAGACAATTGGAGTTCCTGTTTTCTAGGAGATCTGAGCGGGGCTTTGTGTGCGCATATTTCTCATTATATTTGTATCAATGCCGACCGCGTCTTCCTGATTTCTGCAAGGCTGGCTTTCAATCACGAATTAATTCACACGAGATCACTCGTCCCATTCTTTCACTAGTTTCACATGCCCGCCCCGAAAATATCATAAGCAAATATCATATGATAGAAGATTCAATCTCCACTAAAAAGACAATCAAAGAAAAACCAGAATCCTCCAGAAATAAGCAAACAAGAGCATCCCCACGCACCCCACCCCACAATCCAAAATCTCCAGCAACCGGTAAAGACAGTCCCAGTCCCCCCTTCCTTCACCTCACCCGGCGCCGAATCACGCAAGGACCTTCAAAGCCCCGGAATTCGCCGCATTCTTACACTTGGTCAAAGCCCTCGCGTACTTATCCCCATCGCTGCCGCCCCCGTTCTTGGCCTCCTCCCCGAACCGCCTTCCGGAAGCGTTATTCGACAGGTCCATATCCTTCTCCGCGGCGGGTCCGTCGCCGCCCTCCTCGTGCAGGTCGGCGAAGGTCTTCGCCGTGCCCTTGCCCATGTCGACGGTCATGCGGGCGTTCCAGTAGCAGTGGCGGAAGGCGTCGCCCTTCCCGTTGTGCAGGCTGCTCAGGGGGAAGTTTTGCTCCGCGGCGGTGAGAGCTTCGCCGGCGTGGTCCTTCACCTTGCTGCAGACGCTCCAGCGCGAGGGCCACAGGCAGTAGCTGGTCTCGGCGCCGCTGGCGGAGTAGCCGCGCACGACGAGGGTGGAGGTGGAGGTGGAGGAGGTTGGGAGAGCGCTGGTGCCCGTGCTCGCGGCGGCGACGAGGAGGAGGGAGAGGCTCGAGAGGAACTTCATTGTCGCTGGGGTGTTTGGAATGGGTTTTTGTTTTCGTGAATATAGTATAATAATAAAAAAGAGTGTTTTTTTTCCCCCCTTCAAAAAGAATGTGAAGTAATGATCGTGTGGAGAGATGCTGACTAGCTGCGGAGTGGAGCGATTGGAGAATGTTTTGCTGATGATGATTCCTGGTGGGCAATTCGACCGATATTTATACTCATCCTGCTCCACCAAAGACCCGTGTCTCCCACCACAAGTTCTTCACCACTCTCTCGTGTTCCGTAGAATCATTGTAAAGTTATAGTCAATAAGTCTGTACACACACCCCCCCACACACCTTCACCACATATTTCAACCGCAACGTAAATCAATCAATTATACAACCAAAACTGAACCTAAAAATACAATGAAAATACAGATAGAGAGCCATTTCCATGGTGTTTAATACTTGGTGTACCATCCCCGATTTTTTCGCACTGCGTAGTAGCGCCTGGGCATTGAATTGATCATGTGGTCAATCAACTCTTCAGGGACTGCCCACCATGCCGCCTTCAGCGCTGTGATGAAAATCACTCTACTTGGTGCGTTATCTTTGAGGTCTTTCAAGTATCCATGATTCTTTCGAAGAATACTCTTCATGGCTTTCCAGACATGCTCAATCGGGTTTAAATCCGGACTATGTGGAGGGTGTTCGGGGACCCAGATGCCATGCGATTCAAACCACTCCTTAGTGATCTTTGCAGTGTGAATTTTCGCGTTATCTTGCAAAAAGAATTTCCCAGGAGCATAATGAGGCAATAAACCATCCTCCAAGACCTGAATATAGGAGCATGCGCTATATCCATTCTTCACAGAGTCCTTATCACGTTGCATGACCTGCAATTCTGACCACTCCCCCTTCCAGATGGCCCCCCAAACCATAAACGAGAGTGAAGACTTAACATGTTCACTCTCGTTGACAGCCCATTGCTTCCATTTATCCCTTGGAAGTCAAAAAACCCATCCATCGGGAGAATTGGGGGAGTTTTGCACGGAAGATTCGTCACTGTAGATGCCCTAGAAAAAACCTTAGCGAGGATCATCTAAGAAGGAACTGACACTTGTCCACACCTTCAACAATTCTTGGTCTTTTTCACGATAGTTACATGCAATATGTAGCCTTTCCTTCACATCTTTCGCCTGCAGTCGAATTCTTTTACACCGTCTCCATTTGCCGCGTAAATTGGGCCCAAGAGCACGATGGATGGTGTTGATGCATACATTAGCACCACTCTCGTCAATGAGGTCGTGAAAGTATATATTCGGGAAACTTCTGACAAGACGAAGTAAAGAGCGAATAATTTGACGATTCAGCTTCTTGGGACGACCCTTCCGAGGCCTAGAACCAAAGTGGTTGAGTTCCTGCACCCGTTTCACAGTCCGGTAGATTGTCTGCTGAGTAAACCGAAATTCCAACGCCACAGCGGATGGACTCGAACCCAAACTTATTGCCTCGAAAATACGAGCCCTGTCGTGAGAATTCAATTCTTTCCGCCGTTGCTGGGGAGTTTGCCGATCTCTGCTTATAACTGTACCAAAAACTCGTGAAGAAGGCATTTTTTGATGGTGTTGTGAAGAAAAAAAAAAGTATGGGGATCAGGAGGGAGTGGTGTAAAAATGCGTTGCATGTTAAATTGAGTGGGCTGGAGTGGGGTTGGTGTACAGACTTATTGATCATGACTGTACCACCGGTATAGAATTATAGCGCAGCGGTATCACACTTCCAAGAAGTCTGTGCAACCTTCGTATCCTAACCCCTCTAATACCCCATCATCTTTATCTGATGGCTGTGCTCTGGCTTAAGCGCGAGCACCAATAAAAATAGTCCAACAAATATTCGTGTAACCTACGCTAAACAACTAACCCGGGTCTAGTACGGTACAGTACAGCACCGTTAAGTACTAGTATGACTGCAGAGCCAAGATACAAGTATTATATCATGAAACAATGCGTTCACAAGGGCTCAATCATCAATACGAGCTTTTAGCGGGGAATTGCAGCGAAAAAAAGACCGTTTTTCTTCGGAGTTTCCGAAATTGAAGGTGTTTTTTTGTGGGGAAATGCCTAATCAGCCTCGTGCCATCGTATCTGTTCTGGTAACGCCAGGATTTCAGGCGCCGTATAAATACCGGTAATTGTACTGTACAGTACGGTACTCTTCTTTCAAGGTACTGTACTGTAAGGTCCTGCTATACGAGCGCAAGTACGAGAAGTCACAAATTCTTGGCTTTCCATTTTTGCTCGCGGCAGAAATGTGGGACCTAATATTCGAGGCAAGTAGAACCCCTGAATATCTATTGAGATTGATATCGTTGCTGCACTGCGCAGGAGGTGCAATATAATATTCCCCCCTGATGGTAAAAATGAACGCCATTTCCCCACCCTGCTATTGCGCGATGCCAGCATGAAAATGCCAAGTGCTTCTCCCTGGATTATCATCGCTCGTGAGGCAGTGGTAAATATGGTACGCTCACGATCACAGTATCTATATCTCCGCGGTGTCTTAAAACAACATTTTTAATTTTTGGAGGAGCCTGAAAATTCCCTTGGCGGTTCTATAGTGGATGATAACCCACCTCACATGCGACCCCTCGAAGGGTGGGGCTGTGAGAGTGTGCAAAAATTGTGCTTCCTAGAGCCCTTGTATCTTGTTGACTCCAATAATCCAGTAGTCTCCATGGAGACCACAATGATATCTCAAGAATATCAGGCAATGCCAGTCTGCGGCCCATATTGAGAGTAGGCATCAGACCTTTGATATTTAGACTCCAGGAGGTGAACTATCCCGATTGTGTCCATAACCAGTGGTGGTTAATGGCCACATGAGTCATGGGGATACGTATCAGTTTGCGAGCAACCTTCGGCCGCCTACCCCAGCGGTACATAAACCCTTCGAGCTCTTTCCAATGTATGACCTAATACATATTTTCCTTCCCGTCGCCGGTATCCTGTCGCGCCAATTCCTCTGAACTATGGAACAGAGTGAGGAAAGCAGGTCTCACTCTACCGTCGAAAGACATATATTTCCCTCTCCCCGAGCTACGCTTCTTCCTCATGTCGTACTGTACCCTTAGGCCTTCGATCCCCCACTCGTCGGAGCATAGAAATCACCGAGATGATGCCAAGGTTGCTCCTCGTCGTACAGCCACGGTACCTAAACAACATGAGATCTCATGTCCGTGTATCTTATCCTTCAATAGAGTAGCCTTTAGGCGCAGGGTTTTTCAGCTATATTATTTGCCACAGGGCGCCGTCTTCGAGACATTTGCCACTTACCGTACCGGTACTCGTATTTAAAGGAGATAACTCCCAAGAAGGGCTAGTTTGCGAAAGATCCTTCCTGAGCCACACTTTATCTTGACCTCCCAGCAGTGCCGGTATGATAACCTATGAAATCTACCGGTAGTCTACCGGTAGTGGACACAAGCCCCCCGCCAGCACCGGCGCTGAATTAACAGTCTCTCGGGCACAAAATCTCCTGTGCTCATCCTGGATACGGTTGCCTTTTCTTCTCTTTCGGATACCCCTCGCCCGCCATGAGCATGGGATAAACCGCCCCTAGTGGTTAGTCGCGTCTTCTCTCGGAGCACTGGTATTATCGTGTTCTTGGTGGTGTCCCTTTCATCCCGAATACCAGTACGTAAGAAAACACGGAAACGCCAGATCGGGTATCATACTACTTGTTGTATGCGACGGTCTAGCACATTACCGAGTGATAATAGAAAAATCACGAGTCGAAAAACTTCCCCCACAAAAAAGAAACCCTTTCTCAGCATTCCCGACAATACGGTGTCACACGAGATCCTGCTTATCAGATAGCCCGAGGTATGATAATTCCGTCAACTTTTGCCGCACAGTGTGCGCCCGGCGAAAATTAATAAGTTAAGCATCATGCCCTCCACTTTCACTCATGGCACAGTGGGAGAACCAAACCGCACTGCCAAGCGCTGAACGACAATAAAAAAACAACAGCAAATCAACCAGAACCCCAAGACTAAAACCGCGATACGAGTGACCTTCCGCGACTGCAAACCCGTTGGGTGGGAGTATACTGCATCTCGAGGGGCCGAACCCAACCTCAGAAAAAATCCCCCCCCTCTTTTGTTTATCTCAGGACAAGTTATGAGGTGCGAAGTGCGGCCGATAGGTATATATCCGTCACGTGAAGCCTGATAAGGCAGGCAAGTGACGGATATTCCTGTAGCATTATGGGATATTTTTTGTTTGGCTAGTGTGGCTATTTAGTAATGATAGGTGTCACGGATTCTGGGGGCGTTGGCGGTATGGTATGGTATGATGACTTTTAAGAACCATGGGTTGGGTGTGATACCCCCACCGCGCCCCGTCTGTCCGTGTGGTGTTTTATGCGGTGAGGTGTTGCCTTGTTGCAGTGTGCAATGATTACTTGTTGCTTTGATTTGAAATCTCATTCCGGCAAGTGAAAATTCCAGACGGCATTATGTCACCTGTATCATGCGGGAAGTTTTTTCGAGGCAAGTCCAAACCATAGACTACTCGTACATATTCACTGCGGCATTATGTACCCCGCCCCCGCACACATACTGGAGTACATACGCACAATCCCCGCTCCCTCATCTACATAACCCCGCCTTCACCCCGGCTCTGCATCTCCCCCGAACATGCCCGCAAAATCTCTACGGCTCCCTCCATCCCCGACCTCACCGCCAACTGCATCAGCGTGTCCTTGCTCTCATCGACGGCCGTTAAATCCTTCCTGACCCTACGATCCGCCAGCAACACCTCAAGCACCTCCAGCTTACCCCCCGCTACGGCCATGTGCAGCCCCGTCCAGCACAACCTCGGCGCCCTCGTATCACAATGCACTCTCTCATCTGCCAACAGCCGTCTCACCACATCCACCCTCCCCCGCAGGATCGCCACATTCAGTGGCGTCCAGCCCTGCTCGTTGGCAGCATTAACCTCGATGCGCGGATGCTCGAGGAGTGCTTTGACGATCCCGTCAAAGCCCTTATCGCACGCGATCAGGAGCGGAGTGCGGCCGCTGCCGTCGGGCCGGTTCGGGTCCACGCTGGGGTGCTGCAGGAGTAGCGGGACGAGGACCTCGTGACTGCGGGAGGTGGCAACGTGCAGGGGTGTTTGCCCGGATTCGTTTGCCAGGGTGGGATCCGTCCGGGGATCGTGGAGGAGGAGGAGAAGGAGTGCGGGAATCGAGGGGAGGTTCGTGGAGCATGCTATATGGAGTGGCGTGAATTGCATCCGGTCTTGGGAGTTGAGGTTTATATTCCCGACGCGGTGGAGTAAGAACTTGACGACGTCTACCGCGCCGACGGCCACCGCGGCGGAGAGTACGCTTCTTCCTTTGTAGTTTACGCTCTCGACGTCCAGGTCGCAGGTGTCTAGCAGTGTCCCAATCACATCTGTGGACTGTGCCTCAGCGGCATCGTGGAGGAGAGTGTTTTTGTCCACGAATCTGAATATCCCATTCTCGACCAGGTACTCGATCATGGGGATGTCTCTGCGTGCGGCAGCCGAGTAAAGAGCGCGGCGAGTGGCAGGGAGGTAGCCAGCGCGGATGGCGGTTTTAGCAAGGGTGTACCGGAAAATTGTTGCCGACAGGCGATTCGTGCGGAGGAAGGAGTAAGCGTCCTCGAGGGATTGATACGAGTATATTTCCAGAATGAGTTCGTTCGGGAGCGATAGTAGCGACATTTCTGTCTCGTCTCATCCTACTTCCAGGGCCCTTTGTTATTATCAGGAAGGTGTAGATAGTAGATACTGTAGAGTGTGTAGCAAGGATGAGTGGATAGAAAAATCTCGAACAAGGTGGTCACGCAAGCGGGCTTCCCAACCATTATATCACCCCCTACCGCTATCGCCGGCCCCAAATCTAATACTGCGTACGCAGAAACCCACCACCGTAGAAAGACATCTTGCCCACCCCCTCCTTGCTTACCGCAGTTCAAATTCCATTCCCTAAGTTACCCCGGACAATTAATCAAGCAAAGCGGGTCTCAGCCCGCGCGTTAATCAAAAAAATAGAAGAGAAAAGAAAAGTCTCAACTCCCACAGATTATCCCTAAATTCCTCGAAGCAGAAAAAAAGCCTACCATATTAGGTCGCACCGGTCAAAGGGTCATGGGATCTCACCCGCGGAACGCAGTCAGTTGTTGACCGCGTATCCATCCATAACTAGAACAAAGTTAATGCATCGGGTAGACACCGAATATTATACCATAGTACCCTCCTGGGTGACCTGTTAACGTTAACTTGTGGTAAAAGCTTGTCCAACAAACAAAGTTAACCCGCCACGTTGGCATCACACAACTCTGAGAGAATTTCGAATGACCCGGCGCTGGGAATGTTGGCTGAGTTGGGTCATCTTTTCTGTCTCCCGGCATATTGCGTGGCGGGAGTAGCCGCCGCAGCAGCATTCCGCAGAAGTGCCTAGATTCCAGGAGACACAGCATCGGTAAGGTTTTTATCATAATATCTGCAATATTTATTGGGGACTCAATTGTGCTATCACAGCGCATCACTCGACGTGTCCCCCGCTCATGCATCTTGTCAGTGAGGAACGCACAGACCAAAATAGATGTAAAATCAGTATCTACCGGTGCGCACGGCCCACCCAGGAACCCTGCACGAGCACTATTCTGAGAAAAAAAGGAGGATCAAGCAACCACTCATAAGTCATGAAGTCGGAAACTTCGGGGGTTTTTTTCTTAATTCTATCTACAGAATTAATCGACAAAGGGGGAGGTGGGCTACACCAGTAAACAATCCATGTTCTCGTCTCATATGCCCTTCAAGGCATTGACAGGTGCAATTTCTACCAATACTTTATTTTTTGTCTCGTGGTTCTCATGCGAAGTAACTTTTCCACAGCACTCCTTCCAAATCCTCTAGTTGATCTGAAGTGAACGCCTATACAACGATTAGTCAACTTACAAACATATTCCTCGGTCGGGCTTACCTTGACGTCTACATGCCATGTATCCTGCCGTGTCTTCTTGAATTCCCCGAGGGCGCTCTTGACACTTTTACCAACCATACCGGGATCTGCCGCCGCTTTGACTGCAAGTGTGGCCAACACTTCCGGCAACCAAAGGGGCGGTGGAGAGGCGTACGGGAAGGCCTGGACAAGCGCACCAAGACCTAAGACCGCCGCATGACGGGTGATAACGATCCTTGTATAATCGGGAGTTGGGGTACCTGCTGGTGATCTCTTGGGCAAAGGATTCCGAACTAGCATTCTAGTAAACTTATTTTTCAGCTCCTGCACAATCCCCTGTCTTAGCCTAACCGGCGAACACCGAACCATCCCGGACAACGTAGTCGCTGCCCCAATCCGAACTTCTAACTGCGGATCCTCAAGCATCGTCGACACACAAGTGAATATTCGCTCCTTTTCCTCGGCTGTAATGAGGAATAGACGACGGAAATATATTACTTGCATGTTAATTAGGACACGGAGTCGCTGATGCCAAAGTGGAGAGGTTGTCCCGATTCGTATTAGCGCAGAAATAAATTTGTGGTCTTGTTTGAATGGGTGAGGAATATTTGGAAGATGTCTGAAAACGTGGTAAGCAAGAGACATCAACTCTGGATCCTCTTTAATGTCCATCATGTGCAACATTTCGCCCATGAAAACATCGGGGAAGAATGGTATCAATTGTGTGCACTCGTGGGAGGACAATGTGGTATCCAGCCATAATAACACCGTCTTGCTTCCTGCTGTGTATGATGAAGGCGATTGTTGTCCGGGTGTACGTTCATGTCTCCACTGCTCCAGTCGTTTGAATACGCTATGCACCGTTTCCGAAAATTCCTCAGTCGGGCCGTAAGGGGTTAATCCAACCGAGGATGCCCTGGCCTGTGTGTCCATGAGGTACTGCACATTTTTGTATGACTCGTGGTGTCTAGATCTATAAATGGTCCCTAGGGTCTGTCCCATCGCCTCTCGCACGCCTGCCCATGTGTATATTAGTTACCACTTTTTTTTTACCATGGTTAAGATTGAACCCTTGCCTTTATACGGATGGTCAATGTGTTTCAGGAAGTCTTCCAAGATCGGCTTCTCTAATCGGAAATGCCAGCCTGCTTCCTGAATAGATTGCTGCAGAAGCTGAATCTTAGAACTCTCTTTGAATGCCGCATTCGAATTCATGTCCAGTCGATAGTTTGTTAACCATTCCAAGATAGGCCATGACCGCCTTAGGTCCTTCCCTTGCTATTGAAATAGTTAAATACTATTAACAAAAGGAATGACAGAGGGAGTAAATTACCAAAACAAGATGCAAGAAAGACGACCAGTATGAGGAATTCTCGGGGGTAAGGCCCTCCTCAAAGATCCGTTTGACGATAGGAAATACATGAGCCCACATCATGTCCCGATTTTTGACTGTCGAGTCTCTATATGCATTGACAAGAGCTCCAAGAATCTCTGCGGTTGCGCGGTGTTGATGTTTATCACTCCCATCCTCAAACACTGCCTCTGTCTCTTCTTTGAGCTGATCATATGTAACTAATGCTAGCCCATCCCGAACTAGCTCGAAGGCGAACTGTAACAACATTGAGCTGGCCATTCGGAACCTATCGGGTGATCCGTCACGAGGTTCTTGCTTAAGATAGCCAAAGAAAGACTTGAACCATTCCCTATCAAGTAGATTGGCAATTGTCTTTCGCGCATTTGTCTCGACTTCATCAAATTGTAATCCTTCTTCTGGATTTACCTCGTAAGCTGGGAAGTCTTTACCCCATACAAACCATCCGGGATAGTCATGGTCCACATAGTACTCGGCCTCAGGCTTGGTAAATGCATCTAGAAACTTTGACGTCCACTTTGGATCATCTGATCTTGTCGGAACATTAACCTTATTCGGTAAAGAGAGCCTGTCAATCAGGAAATTCCGATAGTTATGGTCACATGTAGCTCGCAGTTCGATCAAGCAGAAGTACTATGATAACAAGGTTATTAGTATGATATCTAAGGTTTATTCTAATAGGTCCAGGGCAAACCTACCGCAACTAATGCGCCGGAATATAATCCTCTGAGTCCAGGATGCGCGTCAACGGTGCCCTTCGTCGTCAGTTCTAGCATTGAAGTCGGTGCAATAGTCTGGAATCTCAGGCCAAGATTCACAACAATTGTTGCGGCTCGGCTAGCGGTCTTCCAGTGAGCCTTCTTTGCAAGCTCTACTAGCTCGAGCGCTAAATCATGCTTCTTGGCCTCGATTCTCTTACGTTTTCGGGCAATTTGATCCCTCTTCTTGGTTATCACGGCCAACAAATCTTCGGCTGGCGCAATCCTTCTTACAGTCTCATCATTTAAAATGACCATCCTCTCTAAAGGCCTACCGTAGTCCATAACTTGATATGTTGCGCTTGTTGCAAGTTTCTGGACAGAAGGCTTATCTGCCGTACTTGCGGAAATGAAAGCCTTAATTAGAGCAGGAGTATAGCGCCAATCTCGCCCCGCAGTTTTGGCCAAACTACCGAATAGCAAGCTGTACATTGCACCTTTCATTCTCCGGAAGTCGTTGTTTTTAATGGAATCCTCGAATGCTGTTAGGAGTGGCGGGATGACCAACGGCCTAGCACCAATTATAACTTTGGTCGCCGATTCTCCTGCACTTTGCGCATGCCTTCGAATCTCTGTGTAAAGGGATACACATGACTCCGCAAGATCCAGGAGTAATGTTTTGTCCATCACCGATTGAGGCCTTGGTCCAGCATTATGCCTAAGCCGCTGAAGGTGATACACGTTTGCTCTTCGGAGAAGGAGGGGTCTAGGATAATTTTTCCGCATCCCGCTAACCTTGAAAGGGTGGATATCTGCAGCAAACAAGCGAGTGACCCTATCCAAGACACATGCCGACCTCTCAATCCCGACATCCATAAACCAAGATCGATATGCCTGTTACGGTCAGTAAAAGCAAAAAACGCGATAGGGTGGAATGAGGCAAATACCGTATACAAAGCATTAAAGCATGGTACGTCATCCTCTTGGCTTGAAGTTAGGAAGGTATGTACTGAATGCAATATCCCGCCAACTTTATCCCTCAAGTCATGGACAGTAACATACAGCGGGTCCCCAGGATCATCGAAAAAGTATCCCGCGGGGTATCGATATGTTGGTTTAACGTCGTCATCCTGTGCCTCACCCATAGGTTCATCAGAGCCATCGGTTCCAGAGACATCGCCGGGAGCGTCCCCGGTGTCTCCATCAGCATCTTTCATCTCCAGATCGTCATCCCTCTTTTCCTTCTCTACTAGAGTCCCGCCGGGTATGCGCTGCGGATCGAACAAAACGGAGATCCCAGAAATTATTAATCTCAGAAGAACTAGGTTCCGGGAAACCTCATCAGACCACTCTTTCCCAGTTCCGTCACTCTTTATATCTGAGCTCCCACTTGTGAGCGAGGCTAGGGCTTCCAGAGCATTCTCTGCTTGGGACCTGAATAGCTCCACAGCAAACTCAACCTCCTCACGTGAAGGTATATGCCATCTGATAGTAATCTCCTTCGGATCATAGACCTTACCCCACGCGTTGATATCGCAACCTATATTAAAGTCAATAAGATGAGCCCGATTGAAGAGAGGGGTCATAGTTTCATACGTTTATCAGGCTCCACGAGACCATAATCTACTGTATAAACCACAGTAAGATTTAGCAACAAGTGATGAATAAAATTCGAGATATGCACAGTTGGCATTCCCTTGCACCTCTTTTGCATGAAACCTGCGATTTCCAAAAGCTCCTCCTTGTGATTCAACACCGCGTCGCCGATGTGGACGACGCACATGCTGAGGATACTCACGTTCCATACAAGACCCCGATCTCTCGGAAGCACGTCAGAGCCTGTATTTCTCGTTGATGCTGCTCCATTTTCTTCAATCTCCGTACGAATATTCCGGATTAGCACAGGAATCAACTGTTTCAATGCTTTCTCCGGGTTAACCTTGCAAAGTGAGTTACAAATGAACGCCATAGCATCTCGAGCCTGATGATAAGCTGTGAAGACTCCTCGAGATCTTCTGCAGCTTGGCGTC